GCACTTAATAAAAATATAAAAACAATAATTTACATAGTATAAATTGACTAAAATGCCCCTAAAAATTTTCAAGGGTATTTTAGTCAATTTATATTGTACGAATTATTGTTTTCATATTTTTATTAGATTCTCTTATTATTAAAGAATAGACGTTCAAAATTTCAAGTGATTTGGATTTGTATAAAAAAAAAAGAAAATTCAAATACGAAATGAGGTTGTGGCCATTGGATTGGACCCAGATTCAATTTTGGCTGTTGACTGACACTATAGCTGCTATGTAAGATTGTAAGGTTATCCTATAAGAGAGTTTGACTACCAACATAAGCTTGTAGTTGTGAACGCCTGCATAAAGACATGAGAGAGAAAAGGTGAAATTAATAGGTGTCCAAGAACTAGGTGGTGGAATTTAAAAAAATAAAAAAAATACTATAAAACTACTTGACTATATTAATAAAACAGCAAAAGAATGTAGAGGGAAAAAAACCTTTTGATAAAGAAACTTAGTGCCCAAGTGATAAGTCTTAAAGGCCATTAGCTAAAAAGGATCATGCCATAAAACTTGATGATGTAATAAAAACAATCAAAATTTAGAAAAGTATAAAAATATTAAGAAAAATACTGAACAAATAGTAAGGTAAGGCTAACCTTAAGGTATATGATAATCTATACAATAAACTTGGAACAAGAAAAGGTAAAAAAGATATCTTCAAATTAGCAAAAATAAGAGATAAAGGTGTAAGGATCTAAACCATATTAAATGCAGTAAGAGTGATGATCAAAGGGCTTTAGTGTAGGATGAAAAAGGTCAATAAAAGGTGGAGAATTTATTTTAAAAAATTATTAAATGACAAACACAATAGGAACATAATGGTAGAAGGAACCGTTGGCATAAATGAAAGAAAAGGTCAAAGACTCATTCATAGGATTAGGATATTGAAAATGAAAGGAGTTTTGATGAGGATGAAGATATGGAAAGCTTAGGTTAAGATCGTATCCTAATACAGATTTTGAAGTGCATGGAGGAGATTGGTATTGACTAGCTGACCAAGTTGTTCAACAAGGTGTTGAGAACAAATAAAATGACAGATGAATGGAGGAAAGTACTATAGTACCTATTTATAAGAACAAAGGAGACATACAGAATTGTGTGAACTATTGAGGGATGAAACTTATGAGCCACAATATGAAACCGTAGAAGAGAGTGATTGAGCAATGACTAAGACATGAAACAAGTGTATCCGAAGACTAATTCGATTTTATGCAACAGAGATCAACAACTAAGGCTATTTTCTTGCTTAGGCAACTGATTGAGAAGTTTATGACGAAGGAAAAATACCTGCACATTGATCTCTTATGATAAAGTACCTTGAGATTTGATTTGGTAGTACTACTTCAGCTTGGTGAGAGATATGTATGAGGAGACGTTAACTAGTGTACGAACAATTAGTGGAGAGACGAGTGAGCTTTCAGTAACAATAAGTTTACATCAGGGGTTTGCATTAAGCCCATACCTCTCTGTCTTAGTAATAGGCGACTTAACTAGGCACCTATAAGATGAGGTACCAAGGTCCATGTTGGAAGGATGCTCTAGAATATAAAGGTTTCAAAATTAACCAGACTAAAACATAGCATATGGAATGCAAGTTCAGTAATAATAGGAGTAGAGGTGAAAAAGTAGTTAAGATTGACGGCTAAAAAATACCAAAAAAAGAAAATTTTTGATTTCATGGGTCAATAAAACAAGAAAATGGATGGTGGGGAGTGGAGACGTATAACCGAAGTTTTATATGATCGTATTAATGAAGTTAAAGGACAAGTTCTTTAGGAAAGTTATGAGACAAGCTTTACTTTATAGGGCAAACCATTGGGCAGTCAAGAAATAACATAATCATAAAATGAGTATAGTTGAGATGAATATGTTGAGATGGATAAGTGGTAAGACTAAAAGAGATAGAATTTGAAATGAATATATTCAAGAGAATATAGAGATGGCACCAATAGGCGATAACATGATAGAAAGTAGACTTAAGTGGGCTAATCATGTGTTGTACAAATTCAGTACAACACTTGTTAAGAGTTACGAGTTAGATTAAGTGGAATACTCAAAGATGGCAAGGAGTAGACCCAAAAGGGCATGGTTGAGAGTAGTGAGAAAAGATATAGGTCATATGGTCTCACTAAGGGTATCACCCTTAATAGAGCAGAATAGCAAACCTGCATTCCTGTAGCTGGCCCCAAATCGTTGGGAAAATCTCTGGCAGTGATGTTGATGATTTACACATATATTGTATACTACGTGACCTTTTATCATTATTACAAGGAGGTCACAATCACTCGTAGCTATTAGATGTCAAATTTAATGACTTAGGTTGTGTCATGAAGTTTGAAAAAAGGAAATTTTAAATTTTGAATATAGATCAACGACATACTTAAAACAACCTGATTTAAAATTTGACGGACAATAGTGATTGTGACTTCCTTGTACAAAAAATAAATGATCTCTTTTGTAGACTTTCTTTATAAGATATATGATAAACAACAGGAAACACTACTTAACATGAATTTCTTTAGTTGGAAAATATAAGTGAATGCGGCTAAACATAAGGGTTACAAATTGGATGATGAAAAGGTCTAGGCATGGAAATATCATTTTGAAATTTAGAATGAAGTTAGTCCGTGATCGATCGATATCAGAATGATTTATTTTTTATCTAAAGGAAACACAGCCTGAATTATCTGCTTTGTAGAGCTGGCAAACTGATTGAGGTTCAAGTCCAATTCCTGGACCCAACAGGTTAGGTCAAGTTTAAATATGTGGACATAATAGTGAAGTCAAGTAATGTTTGGGTCCATCTCAGACATAACAGTATATTATACATATTCCTACATTATGAGAAATAAATAAATAAATCTTTTATTTTTTTCATATTTGACACGTTGAACTGCACTCGACAAACGTCGCAGTCTACTGTCTGACCTTATAATTCAGCATATAACATAAAATCCAACCCGACCTGTTTACAGCCCTATTGCTTTGCTTTGGCGCCCAACGAAACAATCAATCGAATAAAGTGGGTGTGAAAATTAAGCTCAGCTAAACAATGACTAGCAAGATGAACATGTCAAACCCCTAAGATATCTAAAACGTCTTATCGTCAGTAAGTGAAAAGAAAACATTCTAACCTCATTTTTCCTTCAAGGCTAAACCCTAAAATATAAACCCTTTAATCTGAGACCAACATACCCTATATCCTAAAACATGATGCGCCAAGGTATTTGTTTGGGCGCACAAAATCTTAACAAAGTCTCCTTTTTTTTCTTGGTTTTTTCATATCTCCATTTAATTTCTGGTTTGTTCTACTACTATTCATAAGATAGTCTGTATTTTGTAACCGTACAGAATTTCAAAAAACATTGCCAAAGACCAGTAAGACTACAAAAAGGCAAAGTTTTAAGAAAGTATATCCAACTTTTCAACAATTTAATGGTTTACTATTCTACTTATGGTTGTCTATTTTGATGGTATTTTGTAATTAAATCAAAAGATGAAGGTAAGATAGTAAATAGTTGATCCCACATGTGTATTTTAATAAATTTCCCTTTTAATTCCCTCTATTTTCTTAAAAGATGAGGTTTGTATAAGGTGCTCACTTTATACCGCACAAGGTTTGCAAAAGGAAGGCGTATGTTGGAAAGATGGCTTGAAAATCCTTGTTTAACCCTAATTATGAATTTTGAAATTCTTAAAGTTCATCCTAACTTGAAAATAGAGGTCCAGATAACTTATTACGAGATGCATTTTCGAGACTTAAAATTCATATAGAAAATCTTAAATTTTATCCTAACTTGAAAATAGATGTCCAAATAA